CATCGCTACTAGCAGCAAGGACGCTACTAGTAGCTCCTGGCCATACTGCTAGTAACAAGAAGCTACTAGGAACAAAGGGCTTTGCTACTAGGAGCAAGGATGCTACTAGTAGCTCGTGGCCATACTACTAGTAACAAGAAGCTACAGGAGCAAGGACGCTACTAGTAGCTCCTGGCCATACTACCAGTAACAAGAAGCTACTAGGATCAAAGGGCTTTGCTACTAGGAGCAAGAGTAGTTCTTCTCACTAAAAGTCTAGGAACCAAATCATTAGAAGAGTGAGCTATCCTGCGTCCTACCCAGTAGCGAACTGGTCGTCCTCACTCAATCAAGTAGGCGCCTACTAGTAGCGATGCCCTTTGCTCCTAGTAGCTTCTTGCTCCTAGTAGTAGGGCCAGGAGCCCGTAGTAGCGTCCTTGCTCCTAGTAGCAATGCCAGGAGCCCCTAGTAGCGAACTAGTCGCCCTTACTAGTCGTCCCTAGGATCGGGCTCAGAAAGGACCATTGGAATCGTGCATCGTATGGAGACCACAGCTTTGGGCTCAAGGATGAGTTGTGTCTACGAAGAGATGATCAGGCACAGCACTGCTGCAACTTCACTGCCTGATTCCCATGTGGCAAGCAGTGTTTCGCAGCAGTATTCGTGGAAGAGCGAGAGAAGCCATAGAAAAGGGCGAGATTGCAGGGATGCCAGGGAGAACACATCCTCAAAGGGGGAGTTGCACAGGGAGAACTTCAGACGCTTCTTGATGAATGTCTCCAGACATCCGCAGAAGTTTGAGGTCTTCATTGAGCGACAGAGGAATCGGAGAGCTTTCCAAGTGCATGAAGAAAGCACAGAAAGGACCAAACATGCAGAAAGAAAAGAAGAACTCACAGACAGGCCTTTTGGAAAGCTTGGAGAATTGAGCAGAAATGTCAGCGAAGCAAGTGATGCGATAACTGGACGGAGTAGCCAAGTGTCAGCCTCACAGGTGATGGAGGAATCCATTTCTATCTCCATTTCCACTGCAAGTGTTCCCAAGGCTACGCGAGAAATTGTTAGTTTGTGATCATGGATAGCAATGATATCCTCATGCCTTTTCATACGCCGTGAGGACTGAGGCTACAGAGTGTTTCCTCGCAGTGAAACATTCTGGCCTGAAGTTTTTATAGCATTCGTGCCCCACCAGAAGTGGATGGATAGGCCAGGCGAAGGCCGTTTGGATGACATTTTGTGCGCTCAACGCAAAACCGGCTGTTGGCGCGTGAAGTGACATTTATTGGTTTTAACCCATTCACTGCCAAGTGTATAGCAGGGTGTTACCAAAATCACCCTGTCCTTGGCATGCTCCACTTTGACAGGATTGGGGAAACTTCCCCAAGAAGGGGTTGAACACGCATCAGTTCCACTTATATAGCTTATTCCTGAATTTTCTTCAATCCCAACAAAAAAAACATGCCTTTTTGCAACATGTACAGCATTGCAAGCATGCTTGCTTTGGCGCCCAACGTTCCTGGAGTGCCTAGGCAGTGCATATGTGTGTGTGTGTGTGCGTGCGTGTGCAGATGAGACAGTGTGTGCAGACTGAGTTCTCAATGATGCTGCTCCAGTACCCGTCTTTTCCTTCCGAGTGCTTGAGAAGGCCGTTTTCGCCTGCAGTGATAAACAATTATGGCCGTGGTTTGATGGGCTGCCTTGCTGTCGATCTCGAACAGGGGCCCAAATCCACCTTCTTGTTTCTTGTCTTTGGGACTTCCAACAGTTCTCTACTCTCTTTTGGCACCTTTGGCCTTGTCATGCATATTGGATTCTTGTTATCCAAAGAATAGTATTTGTTCCTCTTTCCCGGTGCCCACACATGCTTTTACCGACTGGAGGTCGAGACATCCGCATAGTGGTCCTTCGAGCAGAGGGAAGCATGTTTTGCGCAGCTTTGCTGGAATGGTTTCACATGCACTTTCTGTTTCAGCTTTCGAAGTACAAGGCTGGTGGGGACCCAAAGCATTTCTTCGATGCCTTGGCAATGTCGGAGCGAGACGATCGCAAGGACAGCTTCATCCAAGTTTTGAAATCACTTATTAATTTGGCAGGGAACAAGGACGCTATTAGGTGGAGGCCATCGCTACTAGGTTGGAGGCCATTACTACTAGTAACAAGAAACTACTAGATCTACTAGGAACAAGGACCTCTATCAGTTATTTGGCAGAAGAGTTTTCTGAATCCCGACAGGCAGCCATCGGCTTCATGAAGTTCCTTTTCTGGTTCCAGAGCCTTCCACAATTCACAGTCGGGTTGGCGCAGGACTGCTGAAGGGACAAGTCAAGGTTCACTGAGAAGACATCGCCTAGTCAGTAGTGGCAAGAGTATTAAGGGATTGTGCCCATCCATGTCCCAAGGCGAACCTAATTACAGGGTTTGTCAAGAAGACATTCTATGCAAGCAAGAATGTTCTGTTCTATCTTGTCTTGCAAGATGTGAGGCATCTAAGGTGAGTAGACTGGTAAGAAACCAATGCTTTCTCATAAAGGTTCTGAGGGTAGGTCAAGTCCATAACCTGCGACATGCATGGTCGTTAAGGAAGTAAAAGAGCTCTTCTGGGTTTGGAATGCAAATAGGTTGGAGGCCCTCACTATTAGGTTGGAGGCCCTTGCTATTAGGTCTGGATGCTTTACTCCTTGATACTACAAAGGCAGTTGGAGAGTCTAAGACCTCCGTCGACCTGCCTTGTAGCGTCAATTGCCCGTTGCTTGGGGTCTCACTCTGGTCAGGCACCATGCTGTGCGTTCCAATGCTTTCTTGATCCTATTAGGAGCAAGAAGCTACTAGTAGCAAGGACGGTATTAGGTGGAGGCCATCGCAAGTAGGTTGGAGGCCATCGACACTAGGAACAAGAAGCTACTAGAATGCATTCCAATGCTTTCTTGCTTGTGTTGTTTGGAGGGGCGGGGGAAGGGCTGGGGTGCCGACGACATGAACCTACAGTGTTTGCCATCCGCGACAACAATTCTTGGTTTGGGTCTATGCTGGTAGGAGTTTGTTCCTTTCTTTCAGTACTTTTTTTTTGACGATTTCAACATCCAGAATGCAACGCATGGACGTATCAGGGCTCCGCCATGGGCAGTGGAATTGCATTGCTTTGTGCTTGCAGGGACCTAAAGTGGCTCTCTTTGAAAGAACCGATTTCTGCAAACAAGATTCTTGAGCCATTTCTATTGGACATGTGAACTTGACGCACATACTGAGCTAAGCAGCTAGATGCTTCTGAGGTGACATGGTGTTGGCAGCAAGCAACGCTCGGTTCACTTGCTCAGAGGTATGAGCCCCAGGTCTTAAGGATGTTTTGCTCTAGTCTTCCCTCAAGTCTTTCCTTGTGTGTTTAGCAATCTCTTTCCTTTTTGAAGGTCAAACTGGGATTCTGCCCAGCTGCCATTGCCCCGTTCCTGACACGAAAGGCCGGTCGTCAATGTGAAAGCGCAGAGCGCGTCACACCCATCGCAGCAGGTCGGGTCGGCCTTTGCCAAGCGGCTTTTGTGCATGGCAGCTGGCTCAACCTGGCTCAACCTGTTTTCTAACTCTTACTATCTCTTACTCTACCCTTGCATTGCATACAAAACATCCTACAATCAGCAGCTGTTTTCTGTTTTGAGGTATCGGAAAATAATAGGACAAGTTTTGGCACCGGGTAGAAGCGAGGCAGAGAACATCTCCGCGGAGCAAGCAAAGCGGTCCACTAGCTCAGAGCCACAAAGGTTTCGGGTTCCGTTCTGACTGCATATGTTTTGCCACCAAGAATGGGCCTGGTGTCTGACGTGGGGGACTTAGACTTAGGACACTTCTGTTGTTTTTGAGCGCCGTTTTGAGAAGCTTTCGTGTTGTCCTCAGGTAGTCGAAGAAGAGGGTGAGTTTTCAGACTACATGAAGGAGATTTGCGAGAAAGTTACGTACTGTACTGAGCAATAGAAGATTTTCCATCGCATTTCATCTCCAATGACTCTTCACGTTTAGTGAAGTTTGCCATCAATTGCCATTTTGCACCATGCAAAGACGCTTCTCTGATATGTCATAGCCAACAGAGCACCGTGGCTCTTGGGAGCTTTGTATTGCTTCCAAAAACTTTGCCAAGGGCATCGCTACTAGTAACAAGGGCTGTACTACTAGTAACAAGAAGCTGCATTTTTCTGTCGATTTCTTTGATGTTGTATAAGGCTTTGCGCGCCAATTGCGGCTGGACGAGCCAAGCGTTTGGCACAGAACGTTAGTATGCAGCCTTTGACACGGAAGTTGCAGCTTGGCCAAATGACGACAACAAGCGATGTGGACTCGCGGTCAATCTCTCAGTAGGAGCAATTGAACGCACATTGCACACAATGAGTGTTGCAATCAGATTGGAGCATTCTTCGTGCTTTCAAGCAAGGTCTTGATCTTCACTACAGCAAAAATTCAACTGAATGGACCAAATGACTAACACAACAACAACAGCCCCCGCCCGCAAACCTGACACCCCAAGGCTGGAGTACACTGGAGGTGAACTGGCAGACATCCGCATAGGCCTTGCAGACAACTGTTGAAGTAACAAACAAGGTGTTTGAGCCCGCCTCATGAGACCCCCTAGGCTAGGGGTCTTTCTAAAGGGACCTACTTTTTCATCTCTTTACACTTTTTAAAAAATAGAATTGAGAAGTTGCCTTGCCAAAAGGAGAGGAGGCCATCAAGGGAATGGTGGCCGTACAGGCGGGTAGAGAATGTGTTCACGTTCATCGATTCATCGATCTGCAACATGTCATACCTTGACTAAGGCGACTAAGGGTTAAGTTTCCCATGTAGGAAACATTTGCTCCTAGATGCTCCTAGTATATAGTTATTTGCTCCTAGGAAACTAGTAGCGATGGTTCCCTAGGAGCTCCTTGCTCCTAGTTCTTTGCCCGGGCAAAGAGCTCCTGGTTAGTGGTCTTGAGTTTTTCTATTTAAAAATACAACATGAAAATACACACACCTGTTTTGTAAATACCTGTAAATACATGTTTTATTTTTTCATGAAAAGAGACATTTTTTTTGGGTTTTCTTGAGTCTCTTTGTCTTTTCTTCACCGAACTGCAATCTTTGCTCTCTGCAATCGCAGGCACGGGTGAAGCCGTACTGGGCCGAGACTCCGATCAAGCCTCTCTACTGAGAGTGGACACTGCAACAATTGCAAGATAGCCACAGAACAAACAGACAAAACAATGCACTCAGCAAGAAGAGGGAAAGGGAACACAAACAGGCAAGAACGCGTCAAAGATCTTGTTTAGTACAGAACAACGCGTATGTATAGTACAGAACAAAATAGCCCCTAGTAGCTTCTTGTTCCTAGTAGTACGGCCAGGAGCCCCTAGTAGCGATGCCCTTGTTCCTAGTAGCGATGCCCTTGTTTATGTATAGTACCAAGTGCGTTGGATTCTTTGAGGCAAATTGTGGATCTTCCTTTGCACTTTCGTTTGGGATCTTCCGGAACCAGAACCTTCTTTTCCTGCGCAGCTGCAGCTGTGAATGGTTTGGAAAAAGGAGGGCAGAAATCCTGGAGTTGCTAAAGAGTATAGACCTTGGCCCCAAGGTCTAATGTGGCCCTTTGCACTATTTCGGATGTCAATGGGGTGGTTCGAACATGTCACAAAAGCTGGGTATTGCTATTGGCGATGGCCTCCAACCTAGTAGCGGCCTCCACTAGGTATCGGTATGGAGTTAAACCATGTGAAAGCTTCAGTTCCACGAAGTCAAGGCTTCCGCAATTCGGTCAACGTGCCAAGACGTGAAGTCAAGGCTTCCGCAATTCGATCCTCAAAGCATCAAACAAGAGATGGGAAAAACAGACGTAAAAACATTTAGTGTTCACACATGCTGAATTTTGGTGTGCATGGACTCTGCTCTAGCTCAAATATCGCGGTTGGCTTCGTGGGGTGCAGCAGCTATGCCAGGTGTGAGACTGCTTTCACTTTCATAGATATGAAACCGACCTTGGCTTTGCAAGACAGAAGCAAACCCTCTGCCGGAAGGAGTTCCTCGCTAGTACTAACAAGGGCATCGCTACTAGTAGCAAGGACGGTACTAGTAGCTCCTGGCATTACTACTAGTAGCAAGGAGCTACTGGGAAAAAGGGCATCGCTACTAGTAACAAGGGGCATTACTACTACTAAGAGCATTCTTGCTACTAGTAACAAGAAGCTACTAGGTTGGAGGGCGTTGCTAGTAGGTTGGAGGCCATCGCGTCGTGTGATGTGAGGCTGCGATGATGTGGTGCCAAGACCTCCGGAGCATGTCAAATGCAAAAATTTTGGATGTAACAAGCCGAGGGCCAAGAAGTCCAACGGGAAAGGATATGTCAATTTGCCGTTTGCCTTGAGTGCTACCAGGAAATTTGATCCCAGATATCCAGATCAAACAAAGTCATGATCTTAAAGATGCTTAGCTTCTGCGGCATGATTTGCTATTTCTTCGACCTTTGTCTCGCCCCATCAAGTGTGCAAGGTGCATTCATCACAGACTCCCACCAGTCTTCCACGAGACAGCCAAGTACTGGGCATGTTGCCCTGACAAGAAGGCCAGGGGTTGGCTTTCACTGTCAAATGTCAACTCATCAATTTCAGCACTATGATTAACTTAAGGCATATGACTGGGACGAGTTTATGAAGATTCCGGGATGTCAACAAGGCGCAGATATGTTTAGAGAGGGTTTACCAAGAAGCTGCAGCAAACGGCAGAGGTCACTGCAGCAACGTCTCCAAGGACAAGAAGTTCTTAGGTGGTCTTGCCCTTAGGTGGTCTCTAGATCAAAAGATGTTAGGTCGGAGACCATCGCTATTAGGTCGGAGACCATCGCTATTAGG